ACTTGTAGGGTCATTAAAGGCAAATACTCTCTCTTGGCCTGTATGTGGATATATGCAAGCTCATCGTACAAAGAAACTATTGTCACTATTGTCATAGAGGTGTTTACATGAGTCACATATATCCAGGTGGGAAGTTCTTTACCTTGGCATTGAGACCGTGATCCCAAACCATAGAGGGCATTCATGCCGTAGGCCGCTATGAAATATAATTTCCATCTTCACTTTAAAATAAGTCATTTGTTTTCTGTTTTGTCTTGCTATGAGATTGCTCAGAAATATGTTACCAGGGAAAAGCTGTGTCTTGGTTTCATAGAGACCGCTTTCTTTATTTACCGCGTAAATCCGGTAAGCTGTCGGCACTCTGGGTCTCCCACCAAACGTAATCTCTTGTGGAAATGTCAGAGTTAACTCACAGAAAACAGAGCGTCCTGCATTGTGCCTGTCAGACTTCCCATTCATACTCGCAAGAACGTGTCAACTGAGGTGGTCATTGTTCGTGTCTGGCTTCCTCCAAAGTTCCTCGTCTTCTTTCCTCCCACGCCTGCACCTCCGCCGCAGCCGTACGCAGGTCTGAGCGAGAGCAACACCAAGGCATGTGCTGGGATTATTTCAGCCAAGCTAAACTAATTGAGCGGCATCAATTTGCAGTTCCTGACCGCTGTTTGCTGAACATCATGTCCATGCACAGTATTCAGCAAATCTGGAGCGAGTACGTTTTGGTCTGCCATCACACATGCAGAAAGGACTGGCGACGTAGCAAATTACCACTCCGTGTTTACTGCAGAATATCTTGCCCTGACGCAAAAAATCAAAAGCCCGTGTCTGGAAATCTGAAGTACGGCGCAAAGCGGCATGGGTCCCTTTCCTCTCGCCAACAAAAACAACAATTACAAGCGACTCAGACGGCCCAGCTATGAAATAGGGCCTTGTTGCTGAGAAAAGCTAGCGATTAGGGAGCATTGTTCAGCAAAGGAAAGCAGCTTTTATTATTTTCTTGGTCAGCTCGCCATGCCCCAAAGGCCTGAACGGAATACAACAACTTATTGATGTCCACCGATGCTATATCAAGGTCAAAAGCAGGATAGGAGCGTTAATTTCAGCGCTCTGTTGGATACCGTCCCCATTCACCCCCCTTCCCGACATCTGGCTTTGCCTGGGAAGCTGGAAAACGTCTTTAATATTCTCATGACAGTCAGGACGACATATGGAAAACATTGTAATACCTTAATCTGCAATGCTTCTAAAACAGAAAGAGAGCGGCTGGCGGATAGATGCTTGGCTTTCTAATTTGTAGTTTTCAGAAGCTCTTCTGAGTACCCAAGACTCTTCGATATACATCACACACCTGCCAATCTTTGCTCCAGCGGGGAATACGCTGTCTACAGATTTAAAGAGGGAGATCAGACCAAAATCTAAATTCTGTCATTAACACACCTACATGTTGTTCCAAACTTCCCTTGGAACAAAAAAAAAGAGGTGAATTTGATGTCCTTGCCATGTCCTGAAATATCCATACCGCTTGTGCTCGATATTCTAAATCTTCTGAAGCCATACGGTAACTTAATTATTTGGGGCTGTTGTTGCTTTTTTGTCAATTGCTGCTCGACAGCACAGCAAGAGGTTGTTTTGTGTGTCCTGGGCGTACTTTTTACTGTACAGCAGGTCAATGCTTTGCTTAATTTAATTTTAAATCATGCATTGTAAACACAAAGTGATCTACGTTCAATCCATTTCCCAACCCAGGCTCATTGGGAAAACTTGTGGTGGACATTTCTGCACAATGATGTTATGTTGCTTATGTAACGGAGGTCAGCTAGTAGTTGCTGTGCAAGTAAACCTCACTCCTCTGATCTCAATAGGCACTCTAGCAACATTTTTTAGCTTCCTTGTTAGAGCGCCTGACTCTCATGTCGGAGACCCGGGTTCGAGGCTCGCTAGGAGCGGGTCGAGTAGGACCCGGGTGGAGGGGTTACGTTGGTGCCGTGACCCGGATGGGAGTGAGGTTTAGGGGGGTGAGTATAACGGAGGTCAGCTAGTAGTTGCTGTGCAAGTAAACCTCACTCGTCTGATCACAATAGGTACTCTAGGGACAGTCATTAGCATCCTTGTTAGAGCCCCTGATTCTCATGTCGGAGACCCGGGTTTGAGGCCCGCTCAGAGCGGGTCGAGTAGGACCCGGATGGAGGGGTTACGTTGGTGCCGTGACCCGGATGGGAGTGAGATTTAGGGGTTTGAGTGTAATGGAGGCCAGCTAGTAGTTGCTGTGCAAGTAAACCTCACTCCTCTGATCTCAATAGGCGCTCTAGTCTTTAGCCCCCTTGTTAGAGCGCCTGATTCTCATGCTGGAGTCCCGAGTTCGAGGCCCACTCAGAGCGGGTCGAGTAGGACCCGGGTGGAGGGGTTACGTTGGTGCCGTGACCCGGATGAGAGTGAGGTTTAGAGGGTGAGTATAACGGAGGTCAGCTAGTAGTTGCTGTGCAAGTAAACCTCACTCCTCTGATCACAATAGGTACTCTAGGGACAGTCATTAGCATCCTTGTTAGAGCCCCTGATTCTCACGCCGGAGACCCGGGTTCGAGGCCCGCTCAGAGCGGGTCGAGTAGGACCCGGGTGGAGGGGTTACGTTGGTGCCGTGACCCGGATGGGAGTGAGGTTTAGGGGGGTGAGTGTAACGGAGGCCAGCTAGTAGTTGCTGTGCAAGTAAACCTCACTCCTCTGATCTCAATAGGCGCTCTAGTCTTTAGCCCCCTTGTTAGAGCGCCTGACTCTCATGCCAGAGTCCCGAGTTCGAGGCCCGTTCGGAGTGGGTCGAGTAGGACCCGGGTGGAGGGGTTACATTTTACAAGTGAAATGTCCAGTCAGTGGTGCTAAAAGCTGGTTCAGTTTTATTCAAAACATATAAACGTGCACCTTTTTACTATGTTGGTTGTTGTATGTAACAGGGACAGGTGACACTAAAAGGTTAATGCTCTGTCACGCTTAAAAATATTGTCCAAGCTCACAGGGAACGTTCTCAGAACTTACTTAACATTCTAGCATGTTATGAATAAACGTTCTTCCATTAACATTAACAGATTGTTCATTCAAAAATGTTCGGGTCTTTAATAATGTTCTCAAAACATAAGCACATTAGCATTATCTGGTTGTACTTTATTTTACAGTACATGCACTCATGTGTACTTTCAGTGTATTTAACTAAGAAAGAACTGGGTAATAAAAGGTAGCAGCGTGGGTTCAGGTTAGGTTTAGGAACAGGTTCAGGGTTAGTAGTTATTGCAATTACTATAATAAGTATAGTGTGTACATGGGAACAGGACCGTTCATGGATGGTTTTTTTTTTGCTGCTAAAAATCTTTTTTTTTTTTGTCTTTTATCTGACCGTGTAATCATTTTTTGTGTAAAAAGGTGTCTTCTTTAAGTGTTGGAGTATAATTATATTTAATTTAAGTATTTAATAACTTGCAATTAACAACACGTTCTCACTGCAGGGTTAAAGGGTTTGGGTCAGTTGCATGTAATTATGCATCATTTATAAGTACGTACATGTAACTGTTAAATAAAGTGTTCCCAAAAAGAAATAAAAGTTTTACTGCCACTGGAGTTTATTTTCAGGTGTATTTCATTAATGTTTTGCAAAAATGTAGGTAGAGGCAACAAAACAAAACAAAAACAGGTTACAGGTTAGGTAATGATGGCATACAGAGAAAGAGATCACTCGCTTATTTTATTTCTATGAATATTTTAATTATTGTCGAAAACACAGAAATGTATTCAGCACTATTAACAGGTTTAGTTATGACATTAATAGTTAATGACATAACTAGTTTATCATGACTAAATATGCCTCAGGAATGGGCAACTTCGGTTATAGAGTGCCACTATCCTGCAAGTTTATCCTAATCCAAGACCTGAAGGATCACTGGAAAACATATAGCACAAAAAAGTGTGTTTGTAGAGTATGTACTTTAAGCTAAGCAACATAGTTCTTAGTTTGCCATTGCCTTAGTCCAACAATTCAACAACCCTGATTGTACTCAAATACAACAGTGAAAGTGTAAAAGACAACGGACTGAGACCCGGTCACAACTCAAGTGAACCCAAATGTGATCAGAGTCCAGTTTGGTTCTTTTAAGGAGGACTTTAACTCATGTTTCATAAACTGAGGGAGTCGTATCAGCAGCTTGACAGAGTTCAGTGAAGTTCACTGGAGTTTAGTAGTAGGCCCATGTCTAATCCTTTGCTTAGCAACATCTTCTGGGTGTTTGGCTAAGCGCTCCAACAAAAGCGCAGACGTGCAAAACTGGCCCAAAACGCATCATTAATTCTCATATGGAGGCCAGACACTTGTGGTCCAGTGTAAAAAATGCCTTTTTTCCACACCCCGTTGAAAATCTACAATTACTCTGATTATGAACATTGTGCAAGTTCACGGAGACAGTGGACGCATTTACAGGTGATTATTTTTTCATATGTACGAGCTGTATTTATTCAGGACCACTGAAGACTGAGGCATTGTACTCAAGGTTAAACCATAGTGCCTCTGCGTGATTAACGTTGAATTCTTTTTTCCCGCCTTGGGTTCAAACGGATCTCCCGTTTGCCAAAACCAAGTATCTTTCACATTAGCAAATCTGGTTTTGGAAAAGGGAGTGCTGTCCCACCAGAGGTCATTTTGTTATTTCCCATTTTGTGCTCACTTTCGACCCTGAAAGAACACATTTATTACATTAAAATAAATCTCCTCATTCACCCTCATGTTTTCTTTAATATGTGATTAATACCCAGGGTTGAATTACCATAGCATCATATCCTGGTTCAAGTAATGCCTGGTTAAAGGGGACTTCCAAGAAAAATGCAGTCCAGTAGAAGGTACAGGTGCTCTATAATGTACCAGATGTGCCAATCTCCAGGAAACTGAGTAACACGCAAATGCCTTGCGATAATGGACACTATTGTACTCGTCGGTTGGTTTTAACTGGCCTTCTTCATTTGTTTGGCAGATGGGGGTTTCTGTGGTCGACTCCTCGGTCGCCGGCCTCGGAGGATGCCCGTATGCCAAGGGAGCGTCTGGCAATGTTTCTACAGAGGATGTTTTATACATGCTGCATGGTCTTGGAATTGAAACCGTGAGTCTTGGTTTTCTATATTGATCATTAAGAATGTTACGTTATTAAAAAAGTGTACAGTCGCCAATATTCAACCTGCTTATGTTCTATATGTACATGGGTATACTTTATGTTCTGGGCTGAAAGCTCCGTGTCTTTCGTGAAAATTGCAGATCATACTTCCGCATGTTTGTATCCCAGCATCAGGCGAGTCGGATCAGCAGAGGGTTATTAACAGAACAGTTATTACAAGAGTAGGTTTATCATCTTTGTCTACTCCTTAAACAGCACTGTGGCAAAAAAATTAAAGTCCTTGAACACTGAGGGCCCTATTTTAACGATCTGAAACGCAAGTATCAACCGCGAAGCGCAAGTAACTTTGTGGGCGGGTCTTGGGCGCTGTCGCTATTTTACCGGCGGGATAAATGACTCTAAGATTAAAAGGGGTTGGTCTGAAATAGCTTCATTATTCATAGGTGTGGTTTGGGCGTAACGTGAAATAAACCAATCAGAGCGTCATCCAACATAGCCTTTAAGAGCAGGTGCGCATGTTGCATGGCGGATTGTTGGCGAATTTACCAGGAGCGTTCACAGCCGAGGAGACCGGCGCTCTCGTCAGGGCCGTGAAAGACAGAAGTGACGTTATATGGGGACGGGAGAAACCCTCGCACATCAGCGTCGGTTAAACATTACTGTATACACTATTGAGAGCGCAAGTTCATTTCCTAGTTTACCGTCGTGCGTCTGTAGAGGGAAAAGCCCGCTTTGCGCAGGTGCAAAATAGGAATGACACATGCGTCAGTGTACGAATTCATTTGCGCTGAGTGCAAGATAGGGCCCTGAGTCCGAAATTTTCGTATGCGTTTTACCGTTTCCGTGATTCGGTGGCTCTGAATTGTCAAAATTGCGACAGATGCGAAAAACACCGAAAATCGAACCCGATCTGATTTTTTAATGACGGACGTGGGTTTCGGAGGCAGTGTGCAAGCGTGATTGACAACGTGAGGTCGCATATATATTTTTTAACGTGTGAAAATTTCGGACGTGAATTTTGGACTCGGTGTGCAAGGGCCTTTCCATGCGTACAAACACAACATGCGTTTTGATTGGCGGAACTGACAGAACGTTTTCCCCGCCGTTTGGCCTTATGCAATCTTGTTTCTGCCGCAGAATAAAAAATTAAAAAGTTAATCGCGACTTTATATCTCTCAATTTTGACTTTTTTGCCTCAGAATTGAGTGATATAAAATCGCAATTTTGAGAAATCAGATTTCAGATTTCCTATCGAGGCGTTCTCTCCGTATTTACGATTCTTTGCAGCCTTTGCATTTACATTTTATTCATTTAGCTGACGCTTTTATCCAAAGCGACTTACAATTGCTCTATATGTCAGAGGTCGCACGCCTCTGGAGCAACTAGGGGTTAAGACGCATTGGTGTCTCACAGTGGATTCGAACCCGGGTCTCTCACACCAAAGGCATGTGTCGCTGGATCCTTCACTGAAACTGAGAGTAACTCGCTCCCATTAAACATTTACACCCCGGAATAATACAAGTCGACACCATTATGATTAAAAGTTTGCTAAGAGGTCATTTCTATTAAATGAAGGCAGTGTTTGACTCCATGGCAGATTGGTGGGAGTAGCCTTGGACGGCAACGTGCCCAGTGCATCATGGGTATTGATGTTTTTCTACATATTTGGCAAAAGGGAAGACAACAGACTATTTCTCCGTTTTCTCTCGACAGATAGTTTTATTGAAAGCCCATTTGGCCAGTGTTGAAGTATATGCCCCAGAAATGTCTGAATATCATTATATGCAGAATAACTGGTGTCAAACAAATGGTTTCCACAAGCTTTTTTCATTTTTACTCTCCTGAGCTATTTTAGTAATGGTGATCTTCTTTGTGGACGTATGAGTCAGGCGGATGCATGTGCAAGCAGAGAAACCACAGGTGGAGTTCAGCACTTTAATCAAGTTCTGCACATTTCTACAATTAGAAAGTGTCCTGATACGTTTTGGCATCATTTTATGGCATGCATATTGTATAACTGTGAGACATTTTTCTTTTTTAAATAAATACCACTTGGTCTGACGTCTCGTTACATCATGCAAAGACATGCATGTGTTCTATGTTTGGCTTTTGTATCCACATACTTTCTGAGACCACACTATATGTTTATAGACACACTTTGACTACACTCCCATTTTTTCCATTACTCAGTTTTCCCTGTTGTCTCAAGAACATTTGAACAGAATGTGGAAAAATTGTTTCTGTCATAGTATATATGCATGGGTGTGTGAGAGTGTGTCCGGAGGGCATTATTTGGTAAAATTGTGGGTAACAGTCCTGATATACCTGATATTCTGGTGGCCGTAATTATGTTCTACAGTTTCTCTCACATGTTTTATCCACACCCTTTAACTGCCTCCTCTTTTTAATCCTCTCACAGATAACATCTCAGCGACACTAACCTCTGACTTGCAGTTTCTTTTGCTGTTGCGCCCCCTGGTGTGTACGCCAGCTCAGCTGAGCCTGTTTGTGTTTGTGATGCAGGGGGTGGACCTGCTGAAGGTGATGGAAGCAGGAGATTTCATCTGCCGAGCCTTGAAGCGAACCAGTAACTCCAAGGTCAGCCGAGCCGCTATAAACATCTAGCCTCTTTATTCTGAGGACAAATACATACAGTGAAGCCCAAACGTCCAAGACCATATTAAATAACAACAAACATTTTGAAAGAAAAAGAAAAGTGAAATGTTGAAGAAATCGTTGATATTCCGCTCATGAAAGTGCGTATCTATACCACGATTGTCTTTTCTCGTGGCATTTATACGCCAAAAACGGGTTTGCTCAAAGTTATAGCATGTTCGTCCAAAGTTATCTGCTCTTTAATAAGGTTCACACAAATCATTATTTATAAATGGCTTGAATGTTGTTGTTTTTTGTTGTTTTTTCAGTAACGATTTAATTGGACTTTTGTCTAACGTTTCTTAAATGTTACTACACTGTAAAAAACTATTGTTGGTTTAACGTAAAACATGAAGTAACCTGGTTGCCTTAAAATTTTAAGTTCATTGAAATGGAAAAAGTGAGTTAATGCGATGAAAGAAATTGATTTAATCATCAGAAACTCAAAATATTATGTTATCTGAACTACATAAATTATTTAAGTTGATTTGACAAAAGAAAAAATGTTGTGATTACAATTCATGAAAATATTCAAATATCATTCAAAATTAACTTTCCCTTAAAGTTTGTAAGAAAATGGAAAATGTTCCCTTAGTTAAACACTTAAATAATATATATATATAAATAAAAATATAAATAAAAAACACTTAAATAATATATATATATATATAATAATAATATAAATAAAAACACTTAAATAATATATATATATATATATATATATATATATATATATATTTAAGTGTTTAATACTAACTAAATGGAATGTTCCCTTAGTTAGTAGTTAAACACTTAAATAATATATATATATATATATATATATATATATAAATAAAAATATAAATAAAAAACACTTAAATTATATATATATATATATATATATATAATAAGTGTTTAATACTAACTAAATGGAATGTTCCCTTAGTTAGTAGTTAAACACTTAAATAATATATATATAACATACACCAAAGAAATGAGCCACTGCCTTTTCTGTCAAAAAGAAAATAGATAGCCAAGATAATATCCCCCGTTTATACATAATCAGAGGCTCATTACCCACTCTACGAGTGATCATTTTTTTCATGATTCATATCCTGCTTAATACTGTAATAGTTCTGCAGAGAGAGAGAGAGAGAGTGAGATTGGTTACCACAGGTGTTATTAAAGCAGTAGGAGTTTCTTATTATCTTCCATATCATGTATACTGTCATGTTCAAAGTATTAGCAAAAACTCTGCCTGCAGCAATATGATAAGACATAAGTATTAAATCTGTATGTTTATTAGTATTAATACTTATAATAATGAAGACTTCCACCAAGTAATATAGCCTGCATATGCTGCTTTTTATATTTAAATCACATTAATGTGCAGCTATATCAGCACTTTGTGATGAACTGTAAAAGTCACTTTATAAATATATAGTGCAAATCATTTGAGCTTTAACAATGTCTGATTTACTGTAATATCATATTCCTGTCTTTGTACTAACATCACATATCTTTACCAATGTCTTTTCCAACTTTTTAACCTGCCTTGTTGTAGTTGGACGCGTTTGGAAGCCATCGTTTCTTGTTAGTAAATGCTGCATTTGGTGAATAAACCAGTTTTTAAAACATTCATGAGTCTGCCTACTTTTGACTGACAGTTTGCATCTCTAAATACAGGTGGGTGTACTCTGAGCAAACATGTTTGACTTGATCTCTCGCGGCCTATAATTAACTCTTCTCTCCTTGCCATGTTTATCAAGAGCTCTAATTGTTTTGTGTGAGTGTTAAACCAGCTCTCTGTTTGCCTGTATAATGCTCATATCTGCAAAGGTAATAGATATTCAGCCCTTTTCACTCTCAGCTGTATACAAGCGAAAGCAAACATATGGACACAGCAGTTTATTACAGCACACTGCCATAACTTGATCCCCGCCTGATTTAACAAGTGAAGATTATTGACTTAGCAAATTTATGTGTAATTTCTTCTGCATTCCTTCTTTTTTTGTTTTACACCTGTCCTCTTCTTAATTGGGTATCAAGAACCGGTTACAAATTTCCAAGAACTGGGGATTCGATAAGACACGCACGTTTCAATTTTGTTTAACAATTCCCATGTTTGCATTTTGTTTGAGAACAGTTTGGCACTAGCTCGCATTGAGTTCTCCTTCACATCTTCTTGTGATCGAACAGACACATACAGTCTAAAAAATGCTGGGTTGGGTCAAATATGGACAAAGCCAAATGTTGGGTAATTTCAACTTTCACTTTCAACTGTAATTTTTTTATTACATTTTTAACCCAACATTTGGCTTTGTCCATATTTGACCCAAATTTGGGTTAAAAAACAGCATTTTTTTAGAGTGTATGCACATCATAAACACAGTCGGTTTTGTCTTAAGTAAATGTGAAACGTGGAGGGGAAACGCATGTGTAACAGTATGTTGGATCTGTGCATTCAGTCTTAAAGTGACAGCAGCCTAATAAACCCGCGGCCATCCGCACTCATGAATTTGGATCAAAGAACAAAAGTAAAAGAAAACCACTCCCTGTTCTTGACTAAATAACTTTTTTACATTTATTAAAGATTAATCTATATTTTATTAATAAAATAAAACTATGTCCTGTTATTTTAAATTGCATATCTCAATTTCATTCCTTCTAACCTTTAGTAATCCCTGAGGTGCAATTTAGTTTTAGGCACACAGAGTTAATGGGAACGACACAAAGAGATAATGTAGATGTGCCTGTATATATAATGCATTTCAAAAGATATGCATCCCAGGTTATTAATGTTATCATGAATAAAATTGTTAATTTTGCCTATAACTTTGAACAGCACAAAACATTTCATTAGTTACACTCTAAAAATTGCTGGGTTGTTTTAACCCAACTTTGGGTCAAATATGGACAAACCCAGCCATTGGGTTACATTTTTTAATTACAATTTTAACCCAATGTTTGGGTTTGCCAATATTTGACCCAAAGTTGGGTTAAAACAACCCAGCATTTTTAGAGTGTATATATTATACTGCATTAATTAAAAGTTGTAACCATGAATAGATAATAGAAATGTAATCTTAAATGTTAACCATATAAGTCATTAACGTATTAAAAATAAAATCTTTATAAAAGCATACAGACTTAAAAATGCTGGGTTGTTTTAACTCAATTTTGGGTTAATGGACAAACCCAAAGGTTGGATTAAAAATGCAATTTAAAAATGTAACCCATCGGCTGGGTTAGTCCATATTTGACCCAAAATTGGGTAAAACCAACCCAGCTTTTTTTCAGTTTATTGCAACACGTGTGTTTATTTCAGTATATGCAAATATAAATGAGTTAATGAGTTAAGCATGTTCATCTTCAACACTGTTTGGGATAAAAGTTTAACCACGAGGGGTAAGACAACGGCTTTGGTGAAAGGCCTCATTAATGTCTGTGGTGAAGTTCCTAATGCTGATTTAGTGTGCTCCTGACACTGGGGTTCAGGAAACACATCATTAGACTTAAACACATCTGGATCGAGGTGTCGAGTGTCGGCAGGAAAGGAGACAAGACAGACTGATGTACCCTGATGAATATCAGATGGACTGGAACATATATGACCTCATGCTGGACATTCATCTTCCATAACTTAATAAAGTTGAATGAGAGACTCTAAATGTTGCTCATTAACACTTTATTTATGCCCTGAAACCGAACCAGAGAAGCACATTACAAACAATTGGCTTTGCTGAACAATATTTTGCAATACCGAATTACACAAAGCAAGCATAACTTGTTTATTACTCGAGAGTGCAACTCATTTAAAAGCTCATGATGCACTTAATTTAAAGTTTTTGGGGTTCTACGGTATGTTTCCTTCAAGTTACGGAAGTGATAAAGTCAGCGTTGGAAGTACTACAGTGTGCAAAGTATCAGGAATATCACTACCAGAAATGTATAAAAGCTCTCAAATAATAACAGATGACAGCGTTAGAGACTTTGACTTTGGTTTACCAGCAGCTTGGTGTATTCTCCTTAAAATAAAGGCAAAAAAAATAATAATTAATAATTACTATGTCATACAAAATTTTAATTTAGTTTAATGCGTTATAATGCACACAAAATAATAACAACTTACCTCAGTCTGAACAAAAGCAGGCTGACAACGAGCAACACCACTACCGTTAATGCAGAGACGTATATCAGTAGGTGCAACAGTTGATCTGGTGTAAACACAGACAATATGGTTCATTACATAAAAGGAAAAGTGCATGTTTAAGGCGAAATCCCACTTTTTAAGTGAATCATCTCACCGCTCAACCACTGCTGCTCAACCCTTGATTCATTGGTTGGTTGTTGCCCGTTGCTTAAATCGTCGGATTGCCCACGTCGAACAGTTTCTAACCACTGCTGGTCAGCGCTTGGCTCATTGGTTGGTTGTCGCTTCGTCTTTGATTCTCCACGTCTGGTTTTTGAGAGCTCTGCGATTTGAGAGGACACATCAATCACAACGAGACTATGTTGAATACAACTGCAGTGTTAAACTAGCCAACGACCTCTGGGAGTACTTACTGAAGAAGGACTTGTCTTGGAAAATTTGTTTCAGCTCATTGCACTTATATTGGTCATGATGATGTAATCCATCACAAGTACATGGGTGATGAAGTACTGAACCCATTGTTTCCACAAATGCCACCCTGCATTGGAGGTCTTCCCCAAGAAAGAGGTCAGGGTTTATATGGTTTAGCCATTCACTGGGCGAAGCATATGCAGCGTCTTCTTCCCCAAAACACTTGGACAGGTACCTGTTAAATATCTGCCTGTGAATAGCAAAGAGGTGCTTTTTATCAGCAGCGTCATCCATTCTCCTGTCAACCACGCTTGCCAAACACATCTATACCAACACTAATCTGTGAATATTTCACGATTTGCCAAATTTGTGGCATATCTTTAGAAACTTGTCTCTGCTCATGTACGAAGAGTCACGTTTTATCTACATGTTGTATGTTTGTATCCTAGCCCAGGCCAGAATGTAAATCCATGTTGGTTTTTTCAGCAAAGATACATGATTACACAACTATGAAAAGAATCAACCATAAACGAATGGGACAATTTTAAAGGGGTCATGAAGTGGCTTTTTAAATTGTATTATATTGTTGTCTGAGGTCAACTTATGACGTTCGCTTGGTTTTTGCATTCAAAAACATCCAAATGAATAAGTAATAGGCTATTTTGTACCCTAGTTTTGAGCCTAGCTGAGAAACGCTGGGTTTTTATGGGCGTCTCGCACTGAAGACTTGGAAGTAAACGCCCACTGCTGTGATTGGAGAACAGTTTTGCATATTATAATGAGTTTCGACTCACCCGTCGGTGCACTTGGGGGGAAATTGTTTTGAAAACGTCCAATGTTGTAAAATGGCGGCCGGAGTGATTGGCCCATACATGTCCGACCCA